TGGAATAGAAACATTAAAGAAGGCAAATGAATAGAAAACTTCCACTAGAGATAAACAACCTTACAGCAACTTGTCCATGAGTATATTAATCACAAGAGCCATCGCACGGTAAATCTAGGTAAAGAGTGCTATCAAAGTGAGCAAACATTGCAGCAGTAATATATAGATGAATAAATCTTTTACTCTGCAATATCCGAGGTATTCTTTTCACCTTATCGAACAAGCGTGCAGTTGATGTGAATCATTGGTTCTGCTGCATTGCCTAGTTACTGTGGGAGACATAAGTTATCTTAGGGCCACCTGTCTTCAGGACGGATGTTCGGCTGCCTGGCAGACGCTATATTTAATAACTACCTGACAGCCTGCAATGCCGCTCCTGGCTTTCTCCAGAGGATTTTTTATTATCAGCCCATGTAGTTGAGTTTGTAAGCCGTCTCCTTTGAAGAAACCTCCCATCCATTATACACCTTCTGAAATCTTAAAGGATTAGAAAGATGACAGTCTCCATCTGTCTTGAAGCACTGGAGCAGTCAGAATGTTTATAGATAACTCCAGGTCTTGTTGCCGTTGTCTCTCTTAAGTTTCCTCAACTCATTTTCTGGCTGCTTAGGTTTGTGATGCCCAAGCTGGTGGGGGACATGCAGCACTGTCTCCCTCTCCGATTTTATAGTTTGCTCATGTTCTGGACACATGAGTGCATTTCACAGCGACTGTCTGTTGTTGGGCTCTGTCACCAAGGAAGACCAGGTCAGGGACTGACCAGCACCTCCATAAAACTCTGTTTGGGCTTGCTTTGGGGTGCAGTTTCTCCTGTGCTTATTAATTTCTTCCCTCCATTTTCACTCACTTTTGCAGTGACCTCCCACAGTGTTATCGGCACTGATGGTATATGGTGGAAATGGGCATTTGATGTGGCTTGGAGATGAAGGGCAGGAACTTAGCAGAGCAGGTCTGCCACTGGTGGGAATCACTCATATGGGCCAGAGACGAGGCAGAAGTCTTTGTGGTGAAGGGGACAGGAGAGCTGGAGCGCCAGGTGGGAGGAGAAGGATCATAATCCTCTTTTCTATAATAGTAAGTTATCAGTTGAGAAAGCAGTGACTGGGTAAGTGAGCTGTTAGTGAAGAGCCCATGTTCATGCCCCGTATGGCTGCTGACGTTTGCTAGAGTCGATCTGTTACTCTTCCCAGTATTAAGGGAGGTTAACTTTTTACCAGCAAAATACATGAGAAAAGAGCACAGAGAAGCTTTATTTAGGTGTTGGTCTATTTTGCGCATGACTTAACGTGTCCTCGGGGAAGTGCTGCTTCTGTCATTGTGTGGAATTGCTAGTTTCTAACAAAATGAGACAGTTAATGCACAGGTATGGCAGGTTGTGCTTTCTGCAAGGGAGGCAGAAGTGTTTGCATATGGGCAGCATCTGGAAGTTGTGATAGTTCCTAATTCTGCTGTGTCTGTGCTAGTGGAAGTACTGGCAGGGAGGAGGCACCTAAAGGACATTCCCAGTCTAAACAGCTGGGGAGGGCTGGTCTTGTCAGCGTAATACTGGAGCCACAGAAACATTTTGTCACACACCTCTGAAACATAAACATTCAAAAGCTGATTTCACATGCATCCTGAAAATCATCTGTACTAATCTTAGGGGACAAAAGCCAGGCCCAAACATACTGTCATTTGCAGGATATGTGGGAGTTAATCTTCCTCCAAAAACCATGTATCCCAGTGGCAGGTAACACCAGTGCTTTTCACACTACGTCTGCCTGCGAAGGAGGCAAATCTCTCATTTTCCGCTCTGAAAAGAGAGCAGAATTTTCTGCATGAGCCTGGTCCACCTTGAAATACAGGCCAGACCAGCTTATTTCAGCCCATTCTTGTCCCTTGCTTCAAACTAATGTAATCCAGCATGCGCAACAGTGGTGTTCCTTTCCCACAAGGTAACGTGGCACCTTGGCAATGAGCAGTGTCTAGGAAAGGGAAAAAAATACCTCGGGGGGAGCCTGTGGATGCAGAGACAGATGTCAGAGCGTAGATGGAGCTCTCACGGGAGGGGCATGATGGATGTTCCCTGTGGGCCTGTCATTAACTGGTGTTTCATATAGACTCTCATCAGTCACTTCCCAGGACCTTCTGTCTGGGCCTGTAACCTGGGCTGACCCTTTTTAATGTAAACACTGAGCAGTGACTGAAAATGCCAGACAAAGAGATCCACTTCCTCACTGCCGCAGGTGAGCGACACTCGGTGCAAGGTCTCCTCCTGCCTCCTAGTGCCCACGGGCTCCTCTGAAGGGCACTCGGAGGAGTCCTGCTCGTAGCTCGCCCGGCGGGTGTTTGGGGTCTTCCCCTGCCTTTCTGTGTTTACATCTGGCCTGTGCCTTTGCATCTGGTTCTCAAGTGCGATGGCCAGGACCTCTGTGTATGCAAGCCGCTGTTTGCCACTGAACTAAAAAGGGACCTTGTTCTCACAGGTGCGACACATCCAGCCACCGCCCCTTTCGGTCCTTCACCTCACCACAGCAGTTTCCTGCCTACTAACCACTTGGCAGGTAAGTGTAAGTAAACTCTGCCTTCACCTTTATACCTCTGACACATTCCTGGCTCTCTGGTGTTGTCCTGCCTTGAGGCACTGTGGCACATGGGGAGGGAGAGGCTTACGCTGTCTCGGGAACCAGAAGCTAGCCAGGGAGTCCTCCCACCCACGCCAGCCTCTGCTCACCTCCAAAGGAGAGGGGCAGGGTTAGCAGACCCTCTCCTGCAAGAGAAAAGGGCATGGCAGGCAGGCACGTCCGTCACCACTGGGACACTGCACAGGAGCTGAAATACGGCCTGTAGAGCCCTTCTGTGCTGCTGAATATGCCCAAGGAAACGGGGGAAATTTATCCAAAGGTACCTCAAACAATGGGCTTAAAATGGACTCCTCCCGTACCCTTTCTCACCTGTGAAAGCTCTTGGCTGGGTTCTTTAATAAAGTTCAGTAAACAGTTCCTGGCAAATAGCTGTTCTGCACATTTTGCCAGCCTTTCAGTTTCCTAATTGGCAGTAAGTAGAGCCTGATTTTCTCAAATTTCCTCATTTTAGAAGCTCACAAGCAGCTCATTGCCAATTAAAGTTCAAGCTCTGTTGATTAATGTTTTAGTAACACTCATCCAATCAGTAAATGTAGCATGCCACATGACCTAGTAGACTTTTTTCTGTTGCAAATACCCAGATTTACAATAGTTCCTGAACATTCTGTCAAAATTAACTGTATCTCTACAGAGTCACTCAACTACTTAATATCAAAGGTAAAGGGCAAGAAAAGCTGTTTAAAAATAAGTAAATAAGCAAATAGCTGTTTGCTTAAAGATCCAAGCTATTTATGCTATTTGCCTTGATATTTTAATTATAAGGATATCCATGAGGAAGTGGAGAGCACCTCACCTCCTGTAGAATGGCAAGTTGAAAGATTTTAAAGGGACAGACAAAAAGCAGTGGGCAGGAGCAGGAGGTATTTAGAGATGACCAGTAGGAAAGAAAACAAGTAAGATGGTTCAGTTTAATGTGTAGCCATCTCTGGAGTGCAGAAACCTGAGTCAGGCTATATCTGCTCATAGAGGAACCTCTTCCAATGATGGGTGCCTTTAATGAAAAAAAAAAAAGCAGAACTTTCTATAAAGTCAAGTGCCAGTAGCCAAAAGTTTGATACTTGACTAGGAAAGGCAAGAGTCGTCTTTTTGCCTCAAGAGCACACAAGCCTTCCATTCCCTTGTCATAGTAGCTCCTAAGACCATACTATCATTTCCACCACCACTGGGATCAAGGAACCTATTATGGGAGAGGATTTTGGCACAAACAGGCCCACGTGTTTAGTTGGTCTAAGGATGGATGTCTGTAGCAATTAGCTTAGGACTGTCTCTGCGCACTATTGCAAAGAGGGCAGAAAGTTGTATACAGAAACAAGTGAAACGATGCATCCCCTCAAGATGCTGACTGGAGCCTGCTGAGGTTCTTCTTTCGAGGCAGTTGCAATGCTTCTACTACTAGTACTGATAAGGAAGGAGAGTTATAGCTGAGCAGCAGCCACCCGAATTTCAGTTATTAGACCTTAATTTCTAGCTCCCCTCTGACTGGCATACAAAAGTTTATTACAGCACCTGTTTGCAGAGTGAGCACTGAATCCCTTTTCCATTTTAACATGATGGGAATTTTCTGTGCAAAGAACCTTGCAATGAGAAGGATCAGCTTAAAGTCTGGCCTAATCCTACTTGGATTCAGACCGTTAAGAAGGGGAGGGGTGCGTTTCATTCTCCAACATTCTTGGCTAAATGCCTGCTAAATCCCTGTTTGCCTTTCCAGATCCATTTAGCAGGTCAAGCACCTTCAGCGGCCTTGGGAACTTAGGCAGCAATGCCTTTGGAGGATTAGGCAGTCATGCTCTGAGTAAGTACTGGCTGGGTTACTGCAGACAAACATCCCTTCCAGAAAAGCCACATGCTAATATTTACAGCAGCTGGTGGTAGTTTTTAAAGAAGTTTAATTCCTAACCTCCATTCTCCTATCTGAAAACACTGCACCTAAGATTTCCAGGTCTCTGCGGTGGGAGCTTTTCTGCATGTCACAGACATCACTAGCTGTGCTCTGTGTCTCCTCACTGCTGAAGGTTGGTACCTTGTGTGCTCCTAGAGAGGTGCAAGACCCCACTGAGCTCTGGGTCCCTATGGGCATCTAAAGTAGCACCCTTCAACAGTGAGGACACACAGTGGAACAGCTATTGATACTTCTCCTAATACAGCATGTAGACTTCCTCTGTAACTGTTGTCTGAAGTTTAAATTACCTGTATAAAAGGATTTTACTTCAAAAGCATGTTACCTGTAGACAAGACATGCTTGAGAGCTGCACATAAGAGAGCATGTTTTTGCATCTCATGGTGCAACAGGAATCAGTTGAAGACTGATGGAGGAAAATCAGGTGACTGTTCTGAAAAGCCTACAGCCAAGGTCTGTTTTTATACACACACATACATACCACCAAGTAGTCTGGTTTCTTTAACGAAAAAATCCCTGAATCCTCAGCTGGAGGCAGCTGGTTGCTTGTAACTACTGATAAAGTTTCTGCCAGTGAGTGGAGCTGAGGAAGAATATTGCTTTTGTGCTGGAACCCTTGCCGGGGTGGGGGGAGAAGAGGAGCTGGGCATTTTCAGTCATCTCTGAGTTACTCAGATGTATAGTTAAAGCTTCCTCTGCTGATAGTCTTAAAAGAGCTGGTGGATCTTACACCCAGTGTTGGAGGTACCTGTGTCCACCTGCTAGTAGCTCCCTCTCACCGTTAGCTCTATATTAAAAAGTCTTGAAAGGACAGTTCTGGTTGTGATTAGCATTGTGCAAAATGTATATGAAATTATTTAGTTTCAATTATTTTTAACTGTTCTTCCCCATGCCGTTATTCTAGCTCACAACAACATTTTTACTCACAAAGATGGCCCAAACCTGCAGAATTTCAATAATCCCCATGAGCCATGGAATAGACTCCATCGGACCCCACCGTCCTTCCCAACACCTCCACAGTGGCCCAAGCCCACTGATTCTGAGCGAAGCTCCTCAGTGACAAACCATGACAGAGACAGAGAGCGGGAGCGAGAGCCTGAGAAGAGGGATCTTTCTTTGAGTAAAGATGACAGAGACAAAGAGAGGTAAGTGGCACATGCTTCTGAGCACTTCTTTTTCCTCTGTATTTTTCCTAATTCCTCACATTTTAAAATCATCTTTAGAGCAAAATGTTGCTTGTCTTTGAAGCAGCTGACAGACCTTGCCTTCAGATAAGCACAAGTACTAGTAACACAAAAAACCTGTTTGCCTTTCAGGATTCATCCTCTGTGGAAATACGGTAAGCCAGTCCCTACTAGTAGGTTAATAGCACTAGGCTGAGGAAATGAGCGTGTCGCTGTGTTTTCAGGGTATACTTGACTGTTTTCAATGCAGCTGCTTTAGGATTGCTGTATATTCTGAAAATATGAAGGTAGCATTGTGATGGGTCCTTTGGAGACAGTCTTAGTTCTCATTAATGTACAGATATGCTGATGAATTCAAATGTTAGCTGGACATTAACGAGATGAAAATGCAAATGCCTGTATCTGGAGCAGTGTGCATGAATCCATTAGCAAAACTGATTTTAAAAAATTGCATTGTAGACAAGTCTTTATTAACAATGACAGGACTATATCGCCTGGGCTGTAGATACTTCATTAGCTTCCAGTTATATGATTTTGAAGCTGTAAAGCCCTTTATATTCCAGAGCCCGGTTGTCTCCAACAGGCTACTTCTTTGTAGGCAATAACAGCCTGCACGTCTTAGATGTGTGTATGTGACTAGTGATGGGGGTTCATACTTTGCCTGGAGTGCTTTTAATGAGGTCTTCAGGCAGTGCCTGTGAACAAGTTTATATGGAAGCGATAGGCTGAAAATCATCTTGCTTTAAATGTTAAATTGTCTGACACCCCTCCTTGCATGGGTAGTGTTTCAGGTAGGAAGCTCCCTTCTTGGCTTTAGTGTAATTCATTTGCAAACCAAGGCTACTTTACTCTCAGGAGTGTTCACACAGGGGTTAACATCTCTATTACATTTCTATTAGTTCAGCTTAAGCTGTCCCCAGCATCCCTGTTCGGACATGGGTTTTAATAAACCATATCCTTGACAGCAGTCAGGACTACCGCAGAGGAAGAAATCCGGGTATAGCAAATGCAATCATAAAGGATAAATACTTACAGAACTCCCCAAAACACCTCCAGCTTTCAGCACTCGGGTCTTACAGCTCTCGAAAGCAAACCCAGCGTAAAACTTGGGCATCAGTGAGCCTCTCAGCTGCATAATGCAGTTCTCTCAATCACACCATCATACTTTGCATTTGAAGTGTCTCATTCAGAGCAAAGTGCTTTTAAAAGGTGAGCATTATTTATTCCCCTCTTAAAGAGGTGGGAGTAACTGTGATTAATTGGCTTGCTCAGAGAGAGAGGTGCAGTTACAAATGTAAACCCTCATGCCTCTTTCTAAGCCATGGACAGTGTCATCAAACAGCTTGTTCCTCATAGCAGGTCCTCTTGAAATGGAGGTCAGTTACTCAGTTTCGTGGCCTCTTTGAGGCTATTTTTTCCTTAAGCACTTAGCTTACCTGCCCAAACTGCCAACAACACTCTCCTGCAGCTCCATAGGAAAATAAGCATCATGTTATAGCTGCTTCCAGTTGACGAGACTGTCTTGTGAAGGACCTGCATACATTTCTGTGGGCTTCTGCTCTGTGTGCCTGGAGCCATGTTTTAGGGAAAGAACCTGAGTTAAGAGTGTTGCAGCCAAGAAGACCCATTGTTTGGCAGCAAGATGTATATATGAACACACAATAAGCATCTTTTTTTAAAAAAATAAACTGTCTAGAATTCTTCTTTCTCTACATTTCTCAGTGAAGTGGTCTTTCTCTTAGGGTGTTTTTTTAAATGCATCCCTAATTTAGTCCCCAAATTTGTGGACATGTAACATTTTTTCTCTATGTAGTATGCAAAGGCAGGTAGTGCGTGTCTTTTAGTGTAGCATCACAGCTATAGCTGATGCTAGCAGAGCTTTTCAAATAATCTTCTGAGCAATCTCGAATTACGCAACTGGATGCAGCACTGTGCATGTCCAACATCACATGTATGTTTGTTCACACAAAACCAAGGATGTCTGTTCTCTTTTTACAGAGACCTCATGGATAAAAACAGACATTCAAACAGATCCTCACCGGCATCAGCTCCAGTGACACATCAGATAAGCAATCTCATCCGCAGCAACAGCCAAACCTCCAGCGATCCCATCAGGCAGGTTAGCCTCGGTGAAAGGGAAAGGTCCAAAGAACCCGAGCGAGAGCACCCTGACCGGCTGAGAGAGCCGCCCATAGCAGAACACAAGATTAAAGAGAGCCGTTCCCCAGTGAAGGAAACTCCAAGCCATGATAAGAGACCCTCTGAGGACAACACAAAACCAGTAATCCAGTCTGTATCCCCATACAGCAAACCTGCACTAAGTGAGAGCTTGAAGCTTACCAATCTAATGAGCAAGGACATGGAGAGAAAGACAGAGCTTCCCAGCGACCTCCAGAAAATTAAGAATGACATCAAAGTCAAAGAGGAGAGGAAGGAAGACAGTGACGTGCTGGTGGTAGGGTCTGAGCCTTCACAGCACTCCCGATCTGTGGAGCATCCCCCACCACCTACTTTGCATGGATTATCATTGCCTCACTCGATGGCTGCCTCTATGCCCCTCTCCATGGGCAGCGTGCACCAGATGAACAACATGAACGTTCTGGACCGCAGCAGAATGATGACCCCGCTCATAGGCATGAATCCTTTGTCAGGAAGAGAGAGGCTGCCGCATCCCGGATTTTCTTGGGACCCAATGAGGGACCCATTGCGAGATGCCTACCGGAGCTTAGACCTGCACCGTCGAATGGACTTCCAGCTCCGGACAGATCCTATCCATAGGTTCCCTACCACCTCTGGATTTTACGACCATGAGCGTTCTTACAGAGACAGGGAGCCACACGACTATAACCATGAAAACCTTCTTGAAGCCCGCCGAGAGCAGGAGCGGTTGCGGCAAGTGGAGGAAAGAGAGCGCTTGCACTTACGGGAAGAACTTGAGCGTGCCAGAATGCACCACTTGCACTCGTCCCCCATCGAAAGTCACCTGGCACATGTGCCATCCTTCATGCCTCATTTAAGCGGGATGCATTACCCCAGACTGAGTCCATCCACTGCCATGCACAACGGGATTTTAAACAGGAACCCACCAACTGCAGCGCTGAGCGCCCCACCGCCTCTTGTACCAGCGAGCAGCACCAGACCTGCCTCCCCACGCAGGACTACTCCACTCACAAACTCAGAGTCCAGGGACTACTCCCCCTCTAGGAACCCCAAAGAAGTAGAGGCACGATAGTCCCCAACATTGAATTTTAAACTCGTCTGTATATAAAACAAACAAACAAAACAAACAAACAAAACAAATGAAAAAAAAAGAAAAAAAAAACAAAAAAAAACAAAAAACAAACCTTTTACAAAATGCACTGCTGTAAACTTTTTTTTTTTAATGTAAAATTTGTAGAAGTTAAGCACATTTCCATAAATAATGGGGTCGGGGGTGCAGACTTTCCAACAAGAAGGTTGCTGAGAACGGGAATTTAATATATAGGTATTGATTTTTGTTTTTGGTTTTTGTTTCTGTGCTAAAAAAAATGAGTTAAAAATATCAAGTTTGTACATTTTTTCCCAAATGTGAGAAACATTTTTAATGGATTTGTATTTTTTTTAATTTTGTGCTCTTTATTCACTTAAAAAAAAGAAGAAATTTTGCTTTTGTTTTTAGTTAAATTTGCATTTTAAAGGCCTCAGATCCTTAAGAAAAAAATACCCAGGGTTTCTTAAAAGTATTATTTATGGAAATACTGTAGTTTTACAGTCCACTGTGAGGTTCCCTTCTGAGGCCAATTGATCACTTACCTTGGTACTTTGGAACCGAAGTTACAGATATATATTAAAATATTAATAATAATAATAATGTACAAAACTGTTTGTTTTTTGCCTTATTATATTATGCAGAAATTTAAGAGGAATTTTTTTTGACTTCTTGTTTTAAACAAAAAAAAAACAAAGAAAACAAACTGTAAATATTCTGTTAATATAAATGTACACCAATATTAAATTCTTAACATAGGTAGACTTTATAAAAATGGTTTCTAGAACCACTCTGGTTATTTGTTAACATGGTTACAACTCATACTCTTGTCACAGTCAGAAATTCACACTCAGAAAGCTAAGTACGGCATATATACTTCAACTATGCAAGAACTTGGAGGCAGGTCTTAGTGGATGTTGGGGGGAGGAAGGTTTAAAAAAAAAAAACGACCCAAAAACAACCAACTCGCAACTATGGAGACAGAATGGCAATGGCATGTGAACAGGAAGAAGGATGCTTGTGTTTAACAAAAAAAAAAAATAAAGAGAGACTGAATTTTTTTGTACAAACACAAGGGACAGTTCGTCAAGGAAAGAGAGAGACACACGCTCCTGGAAGGGAATTTTGGTTTCCTACTTTTCAAGCTGGCAAAAGCAGATGGAACTGGCACAGTACCATGCGGCAGACCCTTTCCTTATTTTTTTTTCCTTTTTTTTTCTCTTTTTTTGTGTTGTGGGCAGAAAAATTTTTGTGTTGTGGGCAGGATCGCTGGCAAGCAAGGACAATTTTCCGTGGACCCCTTGTGCTAATTGTGCAGTGTTCTTATTGGAATCTGTATACAAGACAAAGTAGAATTTTAGGAGTGCAAAAAAAAGTCTAATGGTTGATTAAAAAAAAGAAATTCTGATATATTATCTATAGTACATGAAGACCATAAGCAAATGTTTGTTTCAGTGTGGTTCTGCCTTGAACTGCTTTTTGGCATGATTTATTTTTTATTTCCAATTTTACTTTTCATCCATATGTAAATTTTGCCATGTTTTACTTGCTGTACCATCCCCCCTCCCTTATTTTATTTTTCAGTGTCCATGTTTTATATATCCTGGGCTTTTTCTCTCTAGTTAATTCAGCCATCCGCTACTATTTTCTTGGCTCTGTAACTCTTGTTTCCCCC